TGTCATAAGCTACACTGGAGAAGATTATGAGATTTTTTAAAAAGAAAAGCAAAAACCCTTAAGATAAGCATCACTGACCAAGAATTGAAACATTACTTTTGCAACGAGCCCTTTGCACTTAAACCGATTAGGCCACCCAGGTGCCCCAAGCCTTTGAACTTAGTAGGATAAGAATCGCTTCATATATGATCAGAACTAAACACACATTTAAGTTAATAAAAAATACCTACAACAAACTGGAATTACAATAAATTGTTTAAAACAGAAAATTGTTCAAATAAAAACAAAATTAACCAAAATTCTTAGTAATATATGCCCAGACTTACTGCAGAATAGCTTCTCTACCATGAAAAGATCTTGGAAAACAATGTCCTGAGTCTATGACAAATATAAACCTGGGCCAGTTTTACATTAAAAACACACAGCCAACATCAAAAACTAATGATGTAATGTATGGTGATTAACATAACATAATAAAATAAAAAACAAACAAACAAAAACACACAGCCAAAAAAAAAAAAAATATCACACAGCCATTTGGCTTAAGGATCCTACTTGAGATACCTGACAATAATCTCCCAGGTCATAGGACCATCAACTCTGTATGGTGCATTGATCCCAATGCACTCGAACTGAACATTCCTTGAGCTATGTACATACCTTGGCCTGAAGACGGACATTGAACCATTAACCAGTTTTCCATAGAAATAAGTTTTGCAAGATTTGGACATCAGATAAAACAGTCCAACATATTTCAGTTAAAAGCAGTCATATGGTATCTCTGGAGGAATGACTGGCAAACAGAAATACAAGTATTGAACACATATGCTAGAAAAGCAATAGGCATTTTCTTGGAGCTAAGGATATGACTTTTGATTCAAAACTGAGCTTAATTTGGACAGTGTGTTTGTCTGTCTGTTTGTTTCCTTGTTTAAATGAATCAGTAAGGACATGAGCTATATTTTGTGTATCCAATATAAACGTTATCCTTCAAAACCAAGCCAAATACACCCAGAAAGATTTTGGCAGGAACTTAAGAACCACTGGTATGGTAGTCACTCAAGGCTTTAAACCAAATAACATATGATGAAAGTTCAAGCTCAATCTGAAAAATATTTTCAAGTTTGGTTTTATTCAGGCCAAACTGTTTTTTAAAAAATATTTTTGAGGGGTGGTTCAGTCAGTTAAGCTGCTGGCTCTTGATTTTGGCTCAGGTCATGATCTCAGGGTCCTGGGATCCAGCCCCACCTTGGGCTCCATGCTGGGGGACAGGGAGTCTGCTGGAGGATCCTTTCTCTTTCTCCCTCTGCCCCTCCTCCCACTCACATGCTTGCTCTCTCTCTCTCTCAAATAAATAAATAAATAAATAAATCTTTAAAAAAATATTTTTTGGGACACCTGGGTGGCTCAGTTGGTTAAGCACCTGCCTTCTGCTTGGGTCATGATCCCAGGGTCCTGGGATCGAGCCCCGCATTGGGCTCCTTGCTCAGCGGGGAGCCTGCTTCTCCCTCTCCCACTCCCCCTGCTTGTGCTCTCTCTCTTTCTCTCTCTCTCTGTCAAACAAATAAATAAAATCTTAAAAAAAAAATTTTTTTGTTGTGGTAAAATATATGTAACTTAAAATACACCATTTTAGCCATTTTTTAAAAGATTTTTTTTTAATTCATTTGAGAGAGAGAGAGAGGGAGGGAGAACAGGAGCAGGGAGGAGGGTCATTGGAAGAGGCAGAAGAAGACTCCCCGCTGAGCAGGGATCCTGCCTTGGGGCTGGATCCCAGGTCCCCTGAGATCATGACCTGAGCTGAAGGCAGCCACCTAACCACGTGAGCCACCCAGGCGCCTCCCATTTCCATTTTTAAGTACATAGCTCAGTGGTGTAAGTCCGTTCCCATTGTTGTACAGCCATCATCACCATTTCCAGAAATTTTTCATCCTCCCAACAGATGCAGAGTTTGAGAATATATGCAGGTTTGGCTTTTTAAAATGTTGATTCCCTACAAATGTCTTTTGAAGAAACTTGATTACTTCTTAGTTCCTTAAAAGAATGCGAATTTGAGTTTATCACATGAGTTCAATTTGTTCAAATGCATGCTTTGCTCTTTCTGTGTTTTAATTCTCCACTTGGGAGCACTAGAAAATAACCCTACTGGGCAAAAAATTACCCTGGATTATATTTTCATCCCAGGTAAGGTAGTGTGAAAATTCAATCATAGTGATGGCATTTACACACATGAATGATCAGTATTCCACTTTAGGAAATAATTTTTGGATCTGCTATCATGGTGGTTCTATTTTTTAAAGGTACATCTGAAGTAATTGAAAAAAAGAAAACACCAAGAGTTTGATGCCAAAAATTCAGTCTCCATTTCTCTAACCAAGTTGGAAAACCATATCTTTCATTTCAAGATGACTGCTGGTCTCCAACTATTATGGATAGGATAGAATTAATAGAGCTAATAATTTATAATTTCTTGTACTTGAGGAATGCTTTGTGCCTTGAGTTTAGCTGGGGCAGGCATTATAATCTCACTAATTGGGCTGTAGGGTTAATTCTGAATCTAATTTAGGGGCAGATTCACAGAGATTGAGAATCCTTAGATGATATGAATTGTAACAGCTACAGAGCTCAAGAACATCAAGAAAATGACATTCCAGGTCATTGCTACTTCCCAGAAACTCAGCTGTGTAACTCTTGAGGGGAAGGATCTTGTCAATCATGTTCACCCTTATACCACCAATTTCTGAAATAGTGCCAGGCATAGAGAAGACACTCAAAAAATATTTCTAGAATTGAAGAATAACCCCTATCCCTCTATACAACACATACACACGTATCCTTTTTTCTACCAACGTGAAGGTACAAATGAGATCACGTTAACTTTAGTTGCTCAAATTTAACAGGCTCAAGGCCTTAGCTGCCTGACTAATGGTTATCAGCCTTCCTCTCTCCAAATCTCCTGCAGTTTTTTTTGTAGACATCCCCCAAGTGTGTCTCGGTGGTGTGTCTGCTCCTGTTCTGCTGACCTAGCCTCCTTGTGCTGCTGCCTGTGGCCCGCAGCAACTTGAGGGAGTGCGCCTCCTCATTCTCACTGCTGTGGCTAAGCAGTGGGAGGAGGTGAGCATGATGCTGCCCTAAACAAGAGTGCTGGTCCGGATGCTCCTGTGGCTGGAAAATCCTCAGTATAGCAAATGACATAGTGTATATGTGTATATGTATGTATGTATATTTCAGTGTTCTGGGCATTGGAGCCATGCTGCATCCCACAAAGAAATAGGGAGAGGGGTCCCTGGGTGGCTCAGCTGGTTAAGCTTCTGCCTTCGGCTCAGGTCATGATCTCGAGACCATATCAGGCTCTCCCTCTCCCTCCGCCTACCGCTCCCCCTGCTTGTGCTCAATCTCTCTGTCAAATAAACAAATAAAATCTTAAAAAAAAAAAAAAAAAGAAATAGGGAGAATGCTTCCTTCATCCCAACTCAATATTAAGCTTTGGACATAGGAAGTCACATGGCCAAGTCCAAAGTCAAATGGTAGAAAAGAACACCATGTCTACTGTGAATCCACAGTAAGTATGGGAAAAAATAATTCTATAGCATGTCTATAACACATATAAAGAGAACCCTGGAAATCAACAAGAAGAAAAGATGAAAAACCCAATAGAAAAAAAAAAATGCAGGAAATTTACAAAGAATAAATATAAATGACAAAGAAACAAAGGATGCTCACCTTATGTTCAACCTTATCTGTAATCAAAGACATGCTAATTTAAAGCCCCGTGACATACTTTTTACCCATGAGATTGGAAAAGAATAAAATAATAACATTAACTCATATTAGCTAAAGAATAGATTTGTGCAAACTTTCTGGATGTCAGTCTGGTAATGGGTATTATCATTTAAAAGGCACATAACCAATTATTCAGCAATTCTCCTTCCAGGAATTTATCCTAAACAAAACAAAACAAAGATTGTGCCAAGATCCATGTACAAAATATTTACTATGGGTAAAAAAGAAAAAAATGGCAAATGAAGAAAGCTCTTTGTTCTCTTGCTTTTGCCTGAACATTATCATTAGGTACATGGCAGGGCTAAATTAATCAATTCATCAGCAAAATATAATTACAATTTTTGCACAGTGACATAGTAGACTAAATTTACTGGGAAAGTAACACATTTGTCACCACCAATATGATGAATTTCTTTTTTGCACTAAAAAATGTGCTTTTACTGTGAAACATTAAAAAATATCTCTACAGGAAGGAAAAAATGAGATAGGAAAAGAAAGATAAAACAAAAAAATTGAAAAGAGAACGGTTATCAGGCAATTCCTTATTACATGTTTTCTGGGTTTCATGGTGGGTCTACAAAAAGATGGACTTTTCAGCATCTTACATATAGATTGTGAACCTTAGCAGCCAACACACTTCGTCAGGAATCTGTTTAGCAGATATAAAATGAATGGAAGGAAAAGATGTGCAGCATAATTGATAGAGAGGATTTTGAAGCAGTTTCTAGTAAAGTGGCCTGGGGTGGTCAGCCCAGGCTCATTATTCTGAAGGTCTTCCCAGTGGGGGGGGTGGGGGGAAGCATGGGCGGGCATGGTGGAGGAACGGCTTCTCAGTTGCTGCTAACAGTCTGTCAAGGCTAGAACCCATTCAGGGACTTCACCTCCCTCCTTAACATCACCTGAGTTACACAGTGGCACTGCCCCTATTCTATTTGCATATTATCTTCACAAAGCCTTTTGATGTGAAGATTTTTTTCCCTCTTTACTGTTACTTTTGCTATACTTTTCATTTTATTTAACCAGCTAAAAATTGCTGCACATGGCAAGTAGACAAAAGACAAAATGTAAGATCTTTCCCTCCAGATCTTTCCACAAACCCATGTTCCCACCCTTCCTACCCAATTCTCCACCCCACATCTCAGCTCAACTCTCCTGAGGGATGGCTCTGCCCACCTGTTCACATAGAGGAAACAGGAATCTCAAATCACTAGGTGAACATGCAAACTGCTATTTGGACCATCCGACAAAGAACAAAAAGTTGGTAAAAAAATTAAAAAATATATTAAGCTAATATGTAAATGGATAGACATCATATTAAGTACTTTGGTCCCAACCATTAGCCAGAACACAGCTTTGATTAGGGGACAACGAGTCCAGGACACATTAGGCACAGAGATAGTCTCAGAGGAAATGCCTAACGGAAAAAAAGATTAAGAAGCACTTGGTAAGATTGACTCATATTGTTCAGTTTAACGTGTATTTCTAAATTTAATTTTGTGTATTTTCAGCTTTAGGAACAAAATAATATTTGAAAGGATTTATACTGGCCTTTGGATTTCAAGCTGATTAGTCTGGTTAAACAATGAAGTAATTAGAGAAGTTCTAAGCTTGTAGGGAACATTCCGTGACACTTCTTTCCTTATTCTGAAGGCTCTTCCCTCTGTGCCAAGTGGTTATAAACCAAAACTTTGTGAAGCATTTTGGGGTAGTTGTAAAAGTATAGGCTTGTAATCAACAGAACTGAGTTTGAGCACTAGCATTGAAACCTAATAGCTGTATGACCTTGGGTAAACTTGCTGAATCAGTCTACACCGTAATTTTCTCATCTGTACAGCAGGTCTAACTATATCTGCATTACAGACGTGCTGTGTGTATTAAACAGCTCCACAACTATCATTATCATGAAATAAGCATACCAAATATTTGAATTGAATGCAATTTTCTCACTTCACTTAAATTTTTATGGAAATTATTTTCCAAAACTACATATCTGTAAGAAAATTATTCAATAAATAAAATACTCGATTTTATATCCCACACCCTACATGGTCTCTGTTCCCCCAAGATTCTCCCTGCTCCTTTTCTTTTTAAGACTGAGGGGTAAGGGACGCCTGGGTGGCTCAGTCAGTTGAGTGTCTGCCTTCGGCTCAAGTCATGATCCCAGGGTCCTGGGATCAAGTCCCACATCGGGCTCCCTGCTCAGCGGGGAGCATGCTTCTCCCTCTGCCTGCCGCTCCCCCTGCTTGTGCGTGCTCTCTCAAATAAATAAATAAAATCTTAAAAAAAAAAAAAAATAAGCCTGAGGGCCGGGGGTTGAGAAGAGGTAGGGCCACCAGGAGTCTAACGCTTTCTCTGCTAACTTTTAGATAATCCCCTTGTTTTCAGTCCTGAATCTCAAGTCCACTTTTATAGATCTTGGAGCTCTGGTCTTCTGGGTTCCTCAGGGTTATCGAGATAGCGTCTCCTTAGTGTATGTCCTCCTCTCCACCATTAGAGAAACTTGGGTCATAATTTTGACTCCATGGGTTTGATCAAGTGTCACTCCTCCATTTGCTTCCTGTCTGCCAAAATGTTCTTTGCAATGCGTCTTACACTCTTTACTTCTCTCCTTTCTCTTTGTCCTTTCTGATTATACCTTTTATGTACTTTTCCTCTCCTCTCCGTGTGTTGACACACGCTTAACCAGCTGCTTTGGAAACAACAAGTTGGGAAATTTAAACAATAGGATTTAAAACTAAGATGTGAATAATAAAAAAGAGAAAGTAATTTTTAAAACTCAGGTAAAGGATGTATAAGAATTGCAACTTTTCAGTTTCTGGAGATCAAGCCATACATTTAATTTGAGCACTTCCATCATCTAACTCTGAAGATAATACAGGAAGAAGATTGAATACTTTTTTTTTAAAACACATTTTTTTCAGGAATTTTGCTATCCTTACTCTTTGAATTTGTAAACAAGGTTTAATAAACAGGATCCAAAGAATGAGAACTAAAACTAAACACTCAACTGGCTTAAGTTCAAACTTCACTTTTGGAAATTCAAAGTGTGTTAGAAGATGTCTTTGACATTGATAAAAGATGCCTTTGATTTTTTTGAAAAGAATACTTTGCATTTGCTAAAACTGAAAATGTGAGCCACGAACAGCAACTTAATCTGGGTGGCTAATATTCGTCAGAACAGCGTTTTGCTTGAGCTATGTAGCTGAAGAGACTTTGCTGTATTCCAGAACATACTTATCTCTCCTCAGCTGTCTTAAAACAGGAAACAAGTAGAAATTCACAGTTGATATATAACTACCACTACATCCAAAGAAATAAAATAAAAGGCAAAGATTCGATTTTTTTTAAGAACTTATTTATTTATTTGGGAGAGAGAGAGAGGGAGCATGGGAGGGGGCAGAGTGAGAGGGAGAAGCAGACTCCCCGCTGAGCACGGAGCCCAATATAGGGCTGGATCCCAGGACCCTGAGATCAGACCTGAGCCAAAGGCAAACACTTAACGGACTGAGCCAGCCAGGCGCCCCCCAAGATTTGTTTTTCAATATTTACAAAAACATAGTAGCATTTTAACATGAAGTTTAAGTCAATATAACATACAATTTCATATGAATTTCTATTTACTTGCAGAAAAGAAAGCCTGTCTTTCCAAACTGGGCCTAACAAAATGTCTGCAATGAGTAAGTCTCTGTTGTTAACATCTGCTCCTTAGTCTGGCTTATTTTGGAAATTTAATTAGGTTACTCAATATTTCATGAATCAAAAAAATACAAAATATACATTTATTATAATATGCATTTGGCAAACAAGAAATACATTTGCCAAACATTAGCAAATCTTCTTTCGGGTGTTGAATCAAATTATACAGAACTGGATCATTTTAACAAAAAGCATAATCAATAAAGGGATAGATCTGCTTGGAAAAGGGAATACCTGTGCCTGTCTATCGAAGCATCTTTAATCTTCGATAGTGGTGGAAACCTGAAAAATGTCTTACTTGGTTTTTTCTTTTCAAGTATTCTCACTAGACATCAAAAAGCACACATTGTAAGGACACATCTCTATAGGAGACGTCTTAGAGTGCTGGGACCAGTGTTCATTCCATGTCGGGTAAATGAGTGTTAATTGAGTGATAATATCATGTTAATTACTCCTTTACGTGTATGTTTTTCACTTCTTGATTTAACAGAAGTATTTAATTGAGGCAGGTTGCTCTCTTTGAAAGAACATAGCACTTTGAGAGGAAATCACAAGGATTTTGAGGAAGGAAGGGAACAGCCAAATGGCCAAAACACCCTAGCCAGCAATTATACAAAGATGCTGTGATCACAGCACCAAAGCATCTGACATTTGTTACATAAGCCACAGGGACTGTGTTAAGATTTAGGAAGCAATTCCTTTCAGAATCACATTTACACATCTTCTTTCAGTTGGTGTCCACAGATGACAAGTTAACAATTTATATAAATTCCTCCAAACCCCAGACTGACACTGATAATTCTGGATCTTTTCCCCAGCCTAAGGTGGTTCATTCGGAATTGAGGCCTGGAGCTTCCCATGAGCTATTGAAACTGCTACCTCAACAAAATGTCCATAGTGCCAGAAAACGTACCATTCCCAGCCTTCATGGATTAGGTTCCAGCATTTTGGAAACGGCTGATATTTTCTCTCCATATAGCTCAGGTTCATGAAGAACCAAAGTTCTCCTATAGCAAAATTGTATCTTGGAGGCCAGAAAAACACTCATCACCTCCGTGTAAGCCTGGAGGTGATGCACACGTCTTTTTAAGCACACATTTACGTACCCATTTAATGCTCTCAAAACCTCCTAAGGTTGTTGTTACTAATATTGTTAAGAATGCTCCATGAGGGGGGGCGCCTGGATGGCTCAGTGGTTGGGCTTCTGCCTTGGGCTAGGGTCATGGTCTCAGGGTGCTGGGATGGGGCCAGCGTGGGGCTCCCTGTTCAGTGCGGAGCCTGCTTCTCCCTCTCCTCTCCACCTGTGCTCTCTCTCACTATTTCTGTCTCTGTCTCTATCTCAAATAAATAAATAAAATCTTAAAAAAAAAAAAAAAGAATGCTCCATGAGGGCAAGGATTTTTTTTTTTCTTGTTTTTGTTTACTGCTTTACCTCTATTATCCAGAATAGTACCCGGCAAAGATTAGGTACTCACTAAATATTTAAACAATATGGCTCTTCGGAGAAAAGGAGTGTAAAGGAAATATGCTAGCAGCAATGAGAACTTAAGGAGTCCTCGTAAAAATGTGATTTGTGGGACAATATAATATTTGGAATCATTCATTCAGCAAAGATATACTAGTGGCTGTGATGTGCTCGGCATTCCTTCCCATAACGAGGGCACCACAGTAAACTGAACACTGAAAGGCCTGCTCTTACGAAGCTCACATTCTGCTGGGGGAGGGTGAAAACCAACCAAGAAAATACACTATGTTGTTAGACATGGTAACGAAGAAACACACAGCAGGTGAGGGATGAGACTGTTGGAGGAGGGTCCCGGTGAAGACGTGGTCAGCCAAGCGTTCCCTAAGGAGTCCTAGTGAATTGCAGAAGCCAGCCCCGTGCATATCTGAAAAGAAGGCTTACTTGTGCTCACTTTCTCTCATTCTCCGGGAGCCTATGGTGTAAGGTTTTTAAACATAGATGAGCATGTAGCAATAGGCACACATCGGCACCTATAACTTTGATTTTATCAACGGAATGCAAATATGTTAGGTTATTATTTACACACAGAGATCCTATAAAATGCCAAGAAGAACCAGAAGTCTTTGCAGGATTGGACTGTTTGGCAGGCATATCTCATCTAAGAAATGAAGGAAGAGACTTAGGGGGAAGTAAGTTGCTCCGTCTCTCATTGGCTTGTGATTGTCCCTTACTCATCATATAAACCCAAGATGCAGTCACTGATGAGAGCATAGAAGATACTAGAGACTCCACAGAGACGTAGCACAAGTAAGTGATACGACTGAACTCTACAAAGATAAGAAATGAGATAGTGTTCTTTCTTCATCTTAGTGTTTTTTATTACTGTGATATTCTGTGTGTGACTGAGCAACTGATACCTATTTTCACCATGCCACTCATTCAGCTCTCATTCAGAGCCTCTCTGTTAGTGGCCAGGTAGAAATCAAACAGTAGTTTTCTTTCTTTCTTTCTTTCTTTCTTTCTTTCTTTCTTTCTTTCTTTCTTTCTTTCTTCTTTCTTTCTTTTTCTTTCTTCTTTCTTTCTTTCTTTCTTTCTTTCTTTCTTTCTTTCTTTCTTTCTTTCTTTCTTTCTTTTCTTGAGGGTAGGTGAAGGGGCAGAGGGAGAGGGAGACAGAGAATCTTAAGCAGGCTCCATCCTGGGCCCGGTGTAGGGCTCAATCCCATGACCTTGAGATCATGACCTGAGCCTAAATCAAGAGTTGGATGCTTAACTGAGCCACCCAGGCTCCCCAAAATCAAACACTAGTTTCTAAGAGAAATATAGGTACTGGAGATTTTGAAGGATTTTAAGATTTTAAAAGATCCTTTAAGTAGATATTAGTAGATATAAAAGTAGATTAAGTAGATATTAGTGGATATAAAAAATGCAGTCAGTACTGGAGGAAAAATTCTTCCAGAATTTTCCCCACTAATATTTTCAATGTGTGAAGCAGTGGAGAAGTTCTTCTCTTTTTCTTTTTCTTTCTTTCTTTCTTTCTTTCTTTTCTTTCTTTCTTTCTTTCTTTCTTTCTTTCTTCCTTTCTTTCTTTCTGTTTAGGGATTTTCTTTGTAATATTTTCTATCATTTTAAGGCTATTTTGTTGAAGCATCTCCGTGTTTTGCCAAGAATTGCATTCTGTCATCATTTGGTTTCAGAGGTAATTTAAGGCATTTACCCCAGACTAAGAATTTGAGCCTCTCAGCTCCCAAAGGATATTTCAATTATTCCTCTTGCTTTGGCTTTAACGTGAGGCAACAATTTAAAATATTTAGTTGGTCTTTGGTGGGAAAAGAGAGATCCTGGCTTGCCAATGCAAAATTAAACATTCAGGATTCGACTGAAATCAGTATTTTACTCAGTTAACAAAAATGCTTATATTTCTCTATTGTCCTACAATTTAACTTCAACCTGGCAACTTTTCCAGAACCGAACTAGACACGCTCGGGGACCCTGTGAAGGAGGGAAATCAACATTCTTTACCACCAACTGTTAGCGGGTAATGCAGTGCTGTTATTTAATGCCATAGTGTGCAAGAAGTTCTTATGTAGACAATAGCAGCTCCTGTGATTGCTCTCTAAATCCACTTTTTACAATTCAAAACACTACAGTCTATATGATGGGATCACAAACATTATACTCTATGCCGGTACATTTTGTGTAGGTTAAATACTGGTCAAGTTGGGATCTAGCAAAGAACTGTCGGCAAATTCACAAATAATCTTTGTTCTTATACTTCAGACTTGTAGGTTATTGCATTACGACTAGGCATATATAAAACTATATCTGGAATTCTTGAGTATGTTTGACATTCCTTTTATTTAAGAGTAAGAGCTCATGTAGATCAACACTTTTATGAGTAAAATAAATAGCGTTTAGGTTTTGAAGTGAGTTGTAAATAGTTAATACTTAATTCCTTATTTGTAAGTTTTTCTATCCATCAAAATTACTCCAAAAATTCAATTCCCTTTTTCAGTTACCTGCTGAAATCTTCAAGGTATGTAACATAGTAAATGAATATTAGCCTCCTTGGCCAGAGTTGAATTTGGATAGTTATCTCCTTTCTGGCAGACATTAGCATTTTTGATACTATGTTTTACTGTGCGCTTATAGCAACATACAGATTAGAACATCAGCTCAGTTAAAATGAAATGGTTTTATTATAGCTTGTACTTTATCAATGACCGCATTAAAATTGTCTCTGGGATTGAATAGTCCTGTGTTTTGTGGTTGTTAATCAGTTGAAATGTGCCAGTGTTACCATAAGGAAAAAGAGCTACAAACGAGGAGAAAGAAAGAAGCTCCCCAAGACAGAACTTTTCAAAAACACTATTATTTTCCATGTAAATATTAATTGATTATTGATTAAATAATTTAATTATTTATCTCTTATAATTAAATATTTAAGTAATTAAAATAATCAAATATTTAA